AAAACAATAAGCTATGACACTCTTCGGTATGACACAATGCAAAGCAATTTCAATCATTTCTAGCATGCACTTCCAGGCACTATGGCAAAACCAAACTTTTAAATATCCCCTTTTCATTTTATGATACACCACAAAGCATATGTTGTTCCCAGAGAAAGCTGAAATACTCCTAAACTCAAACTTTGGTTAGGAAATATGAGGAGCAGTGGGCTTAGTATTCACAGATGATAAATCATTCTCAGGGAATTCACAAAACTGTCTCACAATGTCCCTGGGGAAATGAACCGAAGTATAATTTCAGGCCTGAATACAGCACTCTCATCAGAAAAATAAACCTGATGCTCTTTGAAAATACAAGACTACTAACTGCTGGCGAAACAGAACTGGGGGCAGCAGAAGCAGAAGAAATTTGGGGGTCAACACCAACACATTGAAACAAAAATGTATTTCAAATGAAGTCAACATATCAAGTTCAAAACATATACACTGATTTACTGCAAAGCCCTATAGAAATGGTACAGATAGACAATGATAGTAACTAACTATGGTGCACATTTGAACTCAAACTATAATCAACTAGTTTTTCAGTCTGTGGTTTTGCCAAAAATAGGCTCAAACTGAAATGGAAAATCATAAGAGGGGTAAAATAGTTGTCAAAATTTTATAGGTTGTCTCAAAGTTCATTTTCAACATCTCCTTAACCCTTTAACTCCCATGAGTGACCAAGACAGAATTTCTCCTTACAATATCAATGCAATATCAACCAGATAAGTCATGAGAATAGCGAAAAATATAAATTAGGGGATAATTTGTTGATCCAATACTAAATTATCTGAACTAACATTATAAGAATTGTATGGTTGACAGTGAGGAGAATGACAAATTTGATCTGGGAGTTAAAGGGTTAAAGGCTTCTGTCTTCTGCTTGTAACTTCTTGACTTCATATCCACTCCTTCCTGCTTCATTTGTGGTGATAAGCACTCTTCTTGGCTGATATTTTGCTTACAATTTCACACACTAAGATACTAGGTATCAGCCGGCAGTAAAATCCCATTGTATGATTTCAACAGTTATAATCAATTAGTATATAACACACATTCAGTGATTGGCTAGTTCAGAATTGAATGGCAAGTACCATTCACCTCCGAACAGATGATGAGAAAAAATTGAACAACAAGAATTGAATTCCCACCATTATTCGGTATATTAAAAGAAATAAACTAAGTTTATGGTTCTTGTGTGATATACTATATATACTGAAACAAATTAATCACCTCAGTGTCGATGAAAATGATGGATATTTACCCCCATGAATACAGAGGGTAAGTTTCTAAAGATACTGTGGTGCTGCGTCGGTGGGAGAGTATAGCAGGTAATTTAGAGATAACAACTGAGTTGAAAACGTAATTGGCCACCGTAAAGAGTAAAAAAAGCTGACGTTTCGAGCGTTAGTCCTTCGTCAATCGCTCTGACGATGGGATAACGCTCGAAACGTCAGCTTTTTAACTCTTTACGGTGGCCAATTTACGTTTTCAACTCAGTTGTTGACACTAAATTACCTGATATTTACCTCCACTTCGGTGAACAATTTTTAACTATCATGAGATGTTTGAACGCAAACATAACGGCAAATGATTATTTCAACTATCATGAACTATCGTGACCGTTTGAACAGGGCTTAAAAATTCTGAGTTATTTTTGAGGATAAGCATTAAAAGATTGTACTTGTTATTCTGAATTTATACCCGATGGAAACGTTTCACTCACCTCCTCAATTATAGCATCTTCTCCTTTGCTAAGAATACCAATGTGACAATGGTTTGTTGCGCTCCTAAATTGAAGTTGACTAAAACAAAACACACGTACAAACTAACTAGTAATCGCTTACAATCAAAATATGCATTTCTCTATGGCAACAAAACAACCAATCGTATTACGCGTCACATGGTTTGAATCGCATAGTTGAGTCACATCCATTGGCGTAAATTATGGGGCTCTTTGGTCTCAGATACTTGTTACAAATTTTTGATAAAAACTCAGGAACTGCACGCGAATGCGAAATAGGCTACTGGAGGTGAACGACTATGTTTTTCAAAACTATATGTTCGATGGCTCTCGATTTCTCGATCTCAATTTCCACCCCCCGATCAAGTCTGCGTCCTTCACCACTGTCTATTCCATCTACGGAGTTTCCGATGATAAATTTAACGTCTAA